TAAAGAGGGCACATACTGAATGGAGCACTGGGTGTTATACGCAAACAATGAATCATGGAACACTACATCAAAAACTAATGATGTAATGTATGGCGATTAACATAACATAATAAAATTTAAAAAAAAATAGAAAACAAGGGTAAATTAGAAACAAGCCCACTCACAGAAATTATTTTTTTGTAGAGAAGTAGAGAATTTTACCATCTGCAAACGGCAAGAATCAATGTGTTCTGGAGGTTAAAATTTCAATACTGACTCTTAGTTCAAAGTGCTGACAAGAAAAAAAATCTAAAGCATGCATTAATGGGGACAGACTGGGGAGGGCGGATGATTACTGTCTTGCTCTAAAATAATCAAATTAACTATACAACAGTAGAATTTAGTACAGGATCCCCTCTGCCCATTCAAAATGATTCCATTTACAAGTATTAAGTCCCCTCACATTCTTCAGGAACAAATTTAAGTGGGTAGCTATCCCACACCACAAATGAAAACCAACTACTTCAACTCTCAAACATGTAGTTTTACAATGTATGCGTTAAAACTAGTCTCTAGAAATAAAGCTGTTGAGATTGGTACTCTCATTTAAGAGACTCCTGACTACTGAAATGAAGAGTCAAGTTTTACACCCCCTCCAGGGATGACAGAGACTCTGGACTGAGTTTCTTTACTGCCCTAACTTCACTTCAACATACCTGAAGAGTATGCCACCCCCACTACTCACAGTCCTCACTAAAGCAATGAGTTGGGGGACCCCGTGTCTCTCTCCTCCTTCTGCCAGTATGAAACAATTACAGGTCTGAAGAATAAAGTCCCAATTCCTCAGCCCCTCAAGGCCCTCCCTGCTTTGGCATCAAGCTTCCTTTCTAACTCTGCTTCAAACTATTACTCCTTGATGTACTCAATGCTTCAATGCACCCCAAATATTCTAGACACTGCTCAGTTTCCAGCTTCTTATTTATCCAAGTCATAAACAGAATTACACTCCATTCCCCGCTCCTATGAAGCCTTTTCTTATTTATTTTTCAAAGTCCTACTCAAACAAGGACTCTGCCATGAAGTCTTTCTGGATATCTTAGGTTCAAAATAATCTCTACTTCTTCTCAATAACTTATTTATACCTCTATTATAGCATTTTTATCACTGTCTTATTTTATAATTAGAGAGTAGACATTTGTCCCAGTAACTCCTATAACTCACTTTCCACTGAGTATGATCATTCTGTTTTTAGGGACAGCTGCTATTTTATCTCTAGCACCTTCCACAGAGTAGTTTGATAAATACTGGTTGGCTTGAAAAGACTTGCTGTAATAGGCTTTTTAACTCAGCTCTGCCTTGCCCTCAAAAACCTATAATGACCATACTCTGTGGAAAGTCTAAATACAAAACAGTTACGAAAAGTTGTTTCATTTAATATCAGGCCTAAGAAAGTTTTTGAACACTCCATCTGAGGTGTTCACATCAAAGAGAGTGTACAAATATAGTGCCATGAGTGTGTAAGGGCTATGGACAAAAAGAATTGCTACAGCATGATAGCCAATACTTAGGAGATTAGTAAACACACAATGCAAAATAAAAATCTACTTAGTAGCTAAAAGCACTTGCATGAAGGAAGTCAAAGCATGCAGACTTTGGAAGAAATCACCACAGGTTCTCCAAGAGCTGGCAAATCCACTGAAATACAGCTCAGTCTTCCAATAGTACCAGCTACTCTAAGGCCACTACAATTTGTCCAGGCAGTTAAGGCCAGAAGACGCTTCAAGAAGCTACATAAGCAGAGCAAAGCAAAATTTACCACATTGTGACAATTAGTTATTTCCACAAGTCATCCTTCATAATTGGTTTAACTCTTTTTTCCTAGATAGAAGAAATTTTACTATTAGGTAAAAACGTGTTTTAATGGTCACAATCAAATTGTCAAAATTTAAATCCTAGATCTCCTGGTCCTTTCTAAAACAACCACCAAGGCCTAAGATTACTCTCTAGGTTCTCTGTAACAAAAGTAAAAGGGAGAACAAACAGTTAAGGAAATCAACCTGAGGGTACTGGGGTAATTACAGGGAAAATAAGAGAGGAATATTCTCTTCACTTCTAAGTGTTCTAGGCAACTCCAAGAAAGCATCCACAGGCCAGAGAGTTGAAGATGAGGAAGAGGACCAGTGGCAGGACCTCCCTGCAGCTACTGCTACAAGTGAGCCGCAGTTTTCAATGAGACAAAACCCATACAGACAAAGCCAGAACATCAAAGTTTGGAGGTAGGAGATCCTCCTGGAGACAGGATGGACTACAAGAAGACTTAGTCTACTTTCTTCTCTTCTTGGCTGTCAAAATAGTCATTTTCACTGCCACACACAAAAATTCTTAAGGTACTCTAGGTTTGTGGACACACATGAAAATTCCAACCTTTTCTGGGAAAAAAAAATTCTATATTTTCAAGTTGGGAGAAGAAAAGGCAAATAACCTAGTGAAACATTTTTCTTCTTCAACATTAGGACACTTGCTTTTAGTGTCTAAAGTGAAACTGGTTTTTTTAAAATGAAAGAGAACAGGGGTGCCTGGGTGGTTCAGTTGGTTGAGCGCTGACTCTTGCTTTCAGCTCAGGTCATGATCTCAGGGTCTGTGCTCGGCGGGAGTCTGCTTGAGATTCTCTCTCTCCTTCTGCCCTTACCCCACTAAAATTAATTAATTAATTAATTAATTAATTCTAAAATGAGAGATAACAAGGGTGCCTCACTGGCTCCCTCAGCTGGTGGCGAATGCAACTCTTGATCTCAGGATTGTGAGTTTGAGCCCCATGCTGTGAGTAGAGCTTACTTTTAAAAAACTTTTTTAATTAAGAAAAATAAAATGAGAGAATATTTGAAACCAGTGACTGCAAGTGAGGGGTAGATGTGACAGGAAGGGGTACACCAGAAGTTTTTAGCTCTATTGGCATGTTTTATCTCATGATCTGGGAGCTATGAACACCAGTGTTCATTATATTATTGTCTTTTTGTAAGTATTTCATAAAATGTTTGCAAAAATCAAAAGAAGAAATGAATAAAGCAGAATTAAGAAGCAAATTTAATACACTAAGGAAATTCATACGGAGTAAGGCAGCAGCTAATGGCAAGTAGATTATAACCCATCAGCTCCGTTATCCTCTAGTTAATATCTTATAGAGTACCACTTCTATTAAAATGAAAGAAGGAACAAAAGTTTTACACATTTAGGAAATTCATGTGATTACCTAGGAAAGGAAAACCACAGCAAGCAAATGCTGTGATCTCTGGAAGACAAAACAGTATCTGGTGGGTAACAGAGCTGTGAAACTCATTTTCTCTCCTCCTTTAGGCTACAGACTATTAAGTGTTAGTAAAACTATTTTCTAAGTGGTCACACTTCTCAAAATCAGTTTCCAGCTTTGAAATAAGTTAGCACTAGACCCAATTTTGTAATCCCATATGAATCTGAGAATGGACTTTTCCATTTCTGCAGAAAAGGCTACTGGAATTTTGCTAGAGATTGTGTTGAATTTTTAGGT